CCCCACCTGCGTTCTCTGCCCCTCGGCTGCGGCCTCTGCCTCTGTGGACTGGGGGTGGCAGTTCCCACGCCCGCCTCTCAGGGACAGTGTGGAGATTCCACGCGTGATGCAAACGGGACACCGTGCACAGCGCGCGCGGCTCGGGCTGGCACTGCTGCGACTCGGCCTCCCGACAGCGGTGAGCTGTGCCAGTTCAGCGGCGTCCTTCCTTCTGCCCTCCACACCTGGGGCTGTTACCATTCCCGAGGGGGGCAGGCGTCCACGCACGGCCCCATCCATGGCTTTGGTGATGCCTGGCCGTTAGGGTTCCAGCAGAGCTTCCTTTAAATGATGGAAATTGAATACGAATGCGGCAGGGACCAGCAGATGGTCTAATGGTTATGTCACTGGACTTCCACATGGTCAACCACGGTTTGATTCCCACACCTGATGGCTTGAAACTTATGCCAGGTGCATGTGCATGCATGCCCAAAATCCCTACAGGAGAATGGAGGAGAAGGGACTGCAGTGTGGCCATCCCCCCGGGGGTGATTTCTCACTTTCTCTCTCTCTCGCTCTCGCTCTCGCTCTCGCTCTCGCTCTCACTCTCACTCTCTCTCTCTCTCTCTGTCTCTTTGGCAAGCACACACACCCTATTAGCAAAAATTTCTCTTTGGGAAAAAAGAATAGAATGCGAGTGACCGCTATCAAAGCACCACACAGTAACACCCATCTATGTGGAGGGCGGACCCTAGCCCCCTCGGCCCCGCAGAACAAGCAGCACTCCTGGGAAGATGGCTCCGTGCGAAGGCTAGAATAGCTGTGACCGGCCACACGAGTCAGGCTGCCACACGCAGCTCTTTAGGAGCTGCCCTGCTGGGAGGCAGACCCCACTACTCAGCAGGCTGAGGCCACATGGCGCCCTGTTCATTTCATGGCCACCCTAACAGTTGGGCACGGTGGCACGCCCCTGTGGTCCCAGCTCCTCGGTAGGCCGAGCCAGGAGGGTCACAACCTGAGACTGTCCTTAACCAAGTAAAGGGGTGCAGAGACCCCTGTGTGAACTCACCCCAGGTCTCTGGGGTTTCACCAGGTGAAAAGGGTCAAGACCTCTGACAGGAGGGGATGGTGACAGGTCAGGGCCTGGCCTGAGAGCAGATACCAGAGAATGTATGTCCTCACGGTTTGTAGAGCACCTGCTACGTGCCAGGCTGTGTGCGGACCCTGGAGGTGGTGCAGGGGGCAGAGGGACACCGGCCCAGCCCTTCCGGAGCTACAACATCCCACCAGTAGGGTGGCTCCAGGTGTGGGGAAGCAGCCCATGGCTTCTGCTCCCACAGCTTCTGCCTCCGGGCTTCTGTGACCCCTGGGCTTCTGTGGCCCACAGGCT